ACGTCACGGTGCAGACAGAGGGACATATATTTACTCATGTAAAATTCCCTACACCAGGAAGACAACAGTTCTCAGTCCGGAGAGACCACAATGACTACAGGGATAGAGGAATGAAGAGGAGAGAGCTACACAGAGAGAAAATTGAAGAGATCTGTGGAGGGCCCTGTTTCAATATGCAGCACAGTACAGACTGATGAATGTATGTGAGGAAACTATTAACTCACAAGGATTAGATGAAACAGTGCCAAGTGCTCATATAGGGGCCAAAAATAGTGCCTGTTCCTACCAGCCATACTGGAAAATCTCATAATTCATGGGCCATTGTGTGGAGCTCTTAGAAGCATTTTGCCTCAGTAGTGGGAAATAATTAGCCCTAGACTAAACACTACTCTGGCTCCACCTAACAAATCTTAAAAGTGAGACCCAAAAGAATAAAACTATTTCCAAGTAACTTAACTGTGTCCCAGAACAGCATTCAAAAATATTCATAGGAATACAAAAATACCCAGCACCAACAAGGAAAAAATTAAAATGTCTGGCATTTGGTCAAAAATTACCTGGCATGCAAAGAAGCAGGAAAATGCAACCCATAATGAGGAGAGAAGCTAATCCATTTAAATTGACCCAGACGTTAGAATTAGCATATAAAGACATTAAAACACTTCTAACTCTATTCCATATGTCAAAAACGTTAAGGTATGTGATATATTAACAAGACCCAAACTGAGAAAATTATAACGTCTGAGATGAAAAATTCACCAGATGGAGTTAACAACAGGTTAGACTTTGCAGAAGTTATTGAAGACCTAGTGCTAGAAACTATCCAAAATGAAACAAAGAAAGAAGAAATAATTTTAAAAAATAAAAAGAGAATCACTTCACATGGCCAAAAATACATGTAATTGGAATCATGGAAGGAGAAGAAAGATGGTCAGAAAGAAAAATATATATATTTTAAAAAATAATGGCCCCCAAATTTCCAAATATGATAGAACTATAAACCCACACATCCAAGAAACTCAATGAACCTCAAGTACAAGAAAATAATACAATTGCTCAAAACTGGTATTAAAGAGAAGATCTTAGAAAGCGCCACAGGACAAAAATGGTTATGTATGTACAGGGGAACAAAGATAGGAATAAAAGCAGATTTCTCAATGCAAACAATGCAAGCAAGACAGAGGAGCAACACTTTTAAATAACTAAAAGAAAAATCTGTCAATCTAGAATTCTATACCCAGCAATAACTTCTAAAAGCAAAAGCTGAAAGAATCAATCACTAATAGATCTGAAATATAAGGAATAGAAAAAGACATCCTTCAGACAGAAGGACAATTAAATCAGATGAAAATATGTATGTGAAGGAACGATGAGCAGCAAAAGTGGTAACTACATGAGTAAATATATAAAATTATTTTTCTTAAAAAATAAAATTATTTTTGGGGGCACCTGGGTGGCTTAATCATTAAGCGTCTGCCTTCAGCTCAGGTCATGATTCCAGGGTCCTGGGATCGAGCCCCACATCGGGCTCCCTGCTCCGCGAGGAGCCTGCTTCTCCCTCTCCCACTCCCCCTGCTTGTGTTCCCTCTCTCACTGTCTCTCTCTCTGTCAAATAAATAAATAAAAATCTTTAAAAAAATTATTTTTCTTATTAAAAATCTTTAAAATATAATTTATTATTTAGGGAAAAACAATAACATTGAATTATGAAACATATATATGTGCAAAATGTATGACAATAAAGGCTAGGAGGGGAGAAATAAAACTATACTATTATAAGGTTCCCATACTATAAAGTGGTATAATAGCTTTAAAGGTATACCGTGATAACTTGAATATGCATATGTAAACACTAAACCAACCACTAAAATAAAATAAAATAAAAATATTTAGAGTTAATAAGTCAACAAAGGAGATAAAATGGAATCATAAAAACACCCAATCCAAAAAAAAAAGATAGAAAAAGAGAAAAAAAGGGAAAAAAGAAAGATGGGACAACAGAAAACAAGTAGCAAGATGATAAACTTGACCACAAAAATAACACATGAAATATGAATAGTCTAAATACTACAAGTGAAAGGTAACAATATCAGACAGGATTTAAAAAAAAGAATTAAAAAGATCTACATATATGTTGCCTACAAGAAATACATTTTAAATATAAAGACACAAATAATATAAAAGTAAAAGAATGGAAAACGTTAGAGCAATCGAACACTAATCAGAAGAAAGCTGGAGTAGTTGTATCAATAACAAAGTAGATTTTAGAGCAAAAAATATAACAAGAATATAGACAACAGTTTGACAGTAATAAAGGGATCAATTCGTCAAGGGGATCTAGTGATTCTAAATGTTTGTGCCCTTAATAACAGAGCTTCAAAATACATGGAGTAAAAACTGATAGATCCATAGGAAGAAACAGATGAATTTGCAATTATTGTCAGAGGTTTCAATACCACTCTCTCAAGTATTGATATAACAAAACAGAAAATCAGAAAGGATTTAGAAGATTTGAAAAACATAACTAACCAATTTGATCTGGTTGGCATTTATATTAATATCCCACCCACAAATAGAAGGATACACATTCTCTTAAAATGGACAGGCCAGATTCGGGGCCATAAAACCAATCTCAATAGATTTAAAGTGATTAAAGTCATAAATATTATGTTCTTTGAAATAGTGAAATCAAACTAAAATTCAAAAACAAAAAGATGTCTGTAAAATTCCCAAATATTGGGAAATAAGTAACATTAAATAAGTAACAGTAAAGAACCCATAAATCAAAGAAGAAAACAAAAGGGAAATTGGAACACATTTTGACCTGAATGAAAATGAAAACTTAACTTATCAAATATTGGTAAGCCACTAAAGCAGTAGTTAGGGGGTGGAATACTCATATTACAAGAGAAATCTCAAATCAATAACCTCAGCTACTACCTTAAAAATCCAGAAAAAAGAGGAGCAAACTAAATTCAAAGTTAGCCAAAGAAAAGAAATAAAGATCCCAACAGAACTCAGTGAAACAGAAAACAATAGTGAAAACTGATGAAACGAAAGTTGATTGGTTTGAGAGGTAAATAAGTTACATAACCTCCAAGCCACATCAATCAAAAAAAAAAAAAAGATAAGGTAAACTACTAAAATCAAGAATGAGACCGTGATACCACTGTAATTTCCATAGATATTAGAATTATAGAATGTTACCAACAACTTGTTGACAGTAAATTTTGTAACTTATATGAAATTGGCAAATTCCTTGAAACATACAAGCTGTAACTTGAAATAACCCTATATCTAATCAGACAATTAAATTGATAGTTAAAACCTTCTTGGGAAAGCTCCAAGCCCAGATTATTTTACTGGTGAAGTCTACCAAATAATTAAAGAAGAAATATTACTAATTCTACCCAAACTCTTTTAAGAAAACAGAAAAGGGGGGAAATGTTTTGCAATTTATTTTGTGTGGCCAGCATTGACCCTGATAACAAAAACAGATGAACGTATTACAAGAAAACTATAGATCAGAATCTCCCACATAGATGCAAAAATTCTAAACGAAATTTTAACACATCAAATCCAACAATGTATTAAAAAAGAAAGATAATGGGTGTTAAATTTTCTGTCTATTGAAACTGATCATTTCAATAGACAGAAAATTTAACACCCATTTCTAATTAAAACAAAACAAAAATCTCTCAGCAAATGAGCAGTCTCTCATCATTAAGTATGATGTTACATAAAGAACGAGTACCATGCTGGGAGTCAGACCTGATTGTAAAGCCTGGCTCCACCAGGTACTGGTTGTAGGAATTTGGGAAAGTCACATACCCTCTTTGGGACTCACTTACTTGATCTGTAAAATGAGGCTGGTAATCATTTGTAGAGTGAAGTCAGAAAAATATCGGCACTTGTTCCTTCGCCCCCTGATCCCCCCAAAATAAATTTCAACAACTATCCATGCAGAAAAATACCTCCACAGAACTAAGGTTTCTAGGTAAGGGATTATAGCACCTGGGTGAAGCACAAAAATAGGAAAAGCTATATCAAGCAGGTTAGGAAAGACAGATCCACTATCGTAATCCTCCCTGTGGAGGGAGAGAGAAGTGTGGACCTGACTTCACTAGAAATCCCGTAGCTACCCTGTTCCAGCATGGGGCTGACTCCCTTGGATGGAGGTGGCTCCCAGCAGACTCTTAGGACCCCAGGCCCCTGGCTAGGGCCACCAGCTATCAAGGCCCTGGAAGCTTCCATGGCACCAGGCTCCCATGAACTCAGGCTCCCAACCCATCCTGGCGCCTGCCAGTTCCTGGTCCCCGTGGCCCAGGCTCCACTTGGTCCCAGCACCAGGCTGACTACCACAGACCCAGACTCCTGGCCTGCCTGAGAGCAACACCAGCCCCCACAGAGCCCAGCTCCAGGACAGCACAGCTTCTTGGCTATGTCAGACATTCAGAACTCAGAGCACTCAGGAGTTACAACCAAGTGTAGCATTCTTAGGAGTCCTTTTTATCATCTTCTTCTGTGTGCCTGAATCATTTCCAATTCCCTCTTCCTCAGCACTGAATACAAAACTATCTCACTAGAAATAATATGTTTCACTACAAAAGGCAATTCCTTGAGTTTCTTGATTTCAGTTCCAGAGAGAATATATTTCAGACTCAGGTATTCAAACATGTGACCTGTAGGCCTTTCCAAGCAGAAAAGGTTAAATTCTCTTCTGAATTAACTAACCCTTTGATAGAGGACTTTGAGGACTGAACTCAGAGAATCAGAAATTCTTTCAGCTACAATTTACTATCATTCCCTACTGAAAATCATATGAAAAACAAAACAAAACCCCACAGGCATGGGCACCAGGTGACAATCACTAAACAACGAAACCTCAAATGCCTTCCCATGTCAGATGACAGTAAGTCTCCAAACGCATTTAGAAAATCTATTTCTCTCCTCTGTCACATTATCCCAACAAAATGGGAAGTCATGGTCTTTCTACTTACCTGTGTAGAGGTCCGTATCTGTGTATTCATCCACTTTCTTGTGCTGCAGAATATAGTCGGAGACCTTGGTCCCAATAGCTGGCTGAACATCCACCCACTCCAAGGAGACCACTGTGCTGGAGGGCTCTACTGTTGGGGACAGACGAAGCCTAAAAAGGGTGACAGGGAAGATTGGTTGTTCTCCAGCAGTATTGTTTGGGCCCTCAAAGAGTCTGAAGGTCTCAAGATTAAAAGCACAGGATTCAGGCTGGGCTCAAATCACGTTTCAATCCACCAACAAGCCTTTGTATGGACTCTGGCAATTCATTATACCTCTTTCAGCCTCCACTTCGTTGTCCATAAAACAGAGTTAAGAACAGCTACATTTCAGGATTAATGTGGGATCCAGTAAATTAATCCAAGCACACAATACATGCTCACAGAAAATTGATTAGCTTTCCATTTGTCTAAACCATATTTCCAGCAATGCTTCATCGTCAATTAAATTGACAATGCCTTCAAACACAGTAGCCTCAACCTTCTTGCCATTCTCTCCAATCCAATAGATCAGTCAACTCCTTAATATCCTTAAATCAATACTCCCTCAGAGAGGGCAGGAGTCCCAGAAAATCCTTTTACAAGGTAAGACATAGTAGAATGATTGAAGGTTAGAACTGGAAAGGTCCTTAGCGGCTGGGAAGTGCAATCACCTCATTTCACAGATTGGGAAGTAAGGCCCAGAAAAGGAAAATAATTTGCAAAAAATCACCCAGCAAGTTGGGGACAGAACTGTGATGGTAGTAACTTTGCTTGTCCCCAGCCCAGATTCCTTCTCTCTTTCCACTACACAATACCATACCTCTTCAAGAACTATCTTACAGTATAATCTCCCCAACACACACAGAGGGGTGTTAAGGGACTCTGGTTCCCCCACATTGGCCCCTGCCCCACTCTCCTATGCTCCTCACAGCACTGTCTTAATCCCGCTCCATCAGTCAAGACGACCTCCTTTAACTTCCTCGAATGGTCAATTTCCCACATCAGGGCTTTCACACATGCCCTTCCTTTTGCCTGAACCATGACTGTTGCCATTTGTCATCTGGAAAACTACTCCCATTCAGGTCTTTTCAGAGAGGCTTCCCTAACTCCTTCCCCTCCAACGAACACACCAACCCCCATTCTTCTCTCTCCTAGCACCTCTTCGTTTTTCTTTCATATTTTTATTAACTTTTTTAACTGTATCATATTTTCCTGTTTTGCTTTGATAGCTGTCCCCTCACTAAATGGTCAGCTCCCTAAGTGCACAGACTATCTTGTTCACTGATGAATCCCCCAGTGTCTAACACATAGCAGGTGATCAAAAATTATTTGTTGAATGAATGAATGAAATGATGTTTCTTTGAAAAGGTTTTATGCTCTCTTTATCTCAGTGGTCCCAATTTCCAACAGTAGTCAGTGCCCAGTAAACCTCTCCTGAGCAGAGGAGTGAGGAAGATAAACCCAGAGCATCATTTAAAAAAGCTGGTTTCTAAACCAATGATTCCATACACAGTTTCTGCCAAAACTCCCTGTTTTCTCAAAGGAGGCAGGTCCCAGAGACGTCAGAGATCTGGTGACACACTCTGGGAACAGAAGCAAGCCATGGCCTGGGCTGGCAGGACAGAACTGTGAGTTCATGAACGGGGTGGGCAAAGGAAGAGGGACCATACATACGTACACTGGCTGTGGGAGGGGGCTGCAGTTGGGGAGCCCACTGGCATCAAAGGCGCTGAGGTCACATCTGCACCAGTCATCGATCACATCCCCTTTCCCTGAGCACCAGTAGGAGCTCATCAGTGCACTCTTGAAGGCCTGGAATAAAGAGGGGCAGAAGAGATGATGATGACCATGGCTGAGAGATTGAGAGTAAAGGTCCCAGTGACCACGACAGTAGCTGACCCAAGCGTCACAGCAATCCACCTAGGCACAGGACACCATCTCTTGCCCAAACATCTAGCACTCTGCCACCAGGTTCTCCCATTCTGAGCCATTCTCTCCCCAGCAGGCAGAATGATCACTGAGGCAGGACGGCAGTAACAGCAATGAACGAGACCTCCTCTGGGGCCTGGTACTCTACCTGAATTAACTTATTTAATCTTCTTCACCCCATGCAATAGATATTATAATTATTATTATCGTCATTTCCCATTCTACCAATTGGAAAAGTGAGGCACATGGAGGTAACTTGCCTGAGGCTCACAACCAGTAAGTGATGGAGCTGGGATCTGACGAAAACAGTGTGGCTCCAAACCCTCCCCCAAACTCTTTTTAAATTGAAGTATAATTAACAGCGTTATTGTAGTCTCAAGTGTACAACGTAAGGATTCAACGATTCCATACACTACTCGGCGCCTACCACAGCAAGTGTAGTTATCACTTGTTGCTATGCTGCTTCTGGCAGAAGTCTGACCATCTCACGTCCCTGCGTAGAAACCTTCAGAGGCTCCCCATAGCTCTCAGGATAAAGTCGAAGCTCTTTACTCGAGCTCCTGACCATTTCCACAGTATCACTGGTCACCGCTCCTCTGATTTTTCCTTGTATGCTACCATCCACCCTCATGCAACCACTAACATTCCCACCAATAGTAAATCCCTGCTTCTGGAAAGTGTGCTCTAAATTAGGAGACAATAAATTGCTTCTGTAAAGGGCCACATAGCAAATAATTTTGGCTTTGTGGCCAGGTAGTCTCTGCCACAATTACTTAGCTCTGCCTTTGCAGCATGAAAGCAACATAGATAATACTTGAAATGAATGGGCATGATTGTGTTCTGATAAAACTTTATTTACAAAGACAGGAAGCAGGCTAAGTTTGGTCTAGGTCCACAGTTTGCTGACCCTTGCTCTAAATGATGATTAACATTCTATATAATTGCTTTTTTTTATGTTCAGTTAGCCACTGTATAGTACATTAGTTTTTGATGTAGTGTTCAATGATTCATCAGTTGCATATAACACCCAGTGCTCATCACAACACGTGCCCTCAATACCCATCACCCAGCTACCCCATCCCATCAGAAACAAAACAAAAAAACATTCTATATAATTGCAATGTGTCTCATTGTTTTTTTTTTTTAATCTTTTCTCCCTGCTGGAATATTCCCTGCCCCCCTTCCTTATACTCCAATTCACTCTTCCTGTCTTAAACATTCCTTTGCTCCCGGAATCCTACATCTTGAGTTTCTTAAGCCTTGAATCATGCTCCTCTCCTGGACACCATAACACACTAGACCACACCTACTGTCCCATTCCTTGCCTATCTCATCCAACAGATTCTGCTCACACCAAGGGTACAGGCCATGCCTTATTCAAGCAAGTATTCTCACAGGACCTGGCACAGATATCCAGTCAATACTTACTGAATCAATAAATGGACACTGAAAAACATCATTAGGCTCGTGCTCAGGTTCAGGTGTGCTTCAAGCTTTAGTCACTCCATTTACACTGATGTTCCAATGCACTGGGGATTCAGAATGTTTGACAGCTCTTTTTTAAACTTAGGGACTTTAGAGAATATTGATCTCTTACCCCTTTACCAGGTAACAGATCCTATGTCCTTTCTTTTTATGTTACTTTCTGTGTACTTTTTATTTTTTTTAAAGATTTGTTTATTTGAGAGAGCGAGAATGAGAGAGAGAGACAGAGAGTACATGAGAGGGGGCAGGGTTAGAGGGAGAAGCAGGCTCCTCGCTGAGCAGGGAGCCCGATGTGGGACTCGATCCAGGGACTCCAGGATCATGACCTGAGCCGAAGGCAGTTGCCTAACCAACTGAGCCACCCAGGCGCCCTTCTGTGTACTTTTTAAATGAAAGTTTTGTACTGCCTATAACCAAGGACACCTGGTTAGCCAGGTGTCACTTTTTCCATCATGCATGGTCAAGACTCAGGTGTAACATGTTTGTGTAAAGAGGGTCTGGGGTCTACATCCTTAGCTACCCAAAGCACAGATCTAGGGGGAGGTGTGTATCAAGAACGCTATTATAGCAATGCACCCAGCCATCCTGCAGATCTGTCTCTTGCTTCAATAGTGTTTGGACAGAACAGACCCAGGGATACCCCTCCTTCCAGCTTCTGACTACCCTCCAACCTCTTCCAGTCATGACCTTCAGAACCATCTGCTCAGCCGCCCCGTCTCTGGGACCAGCCAACGTTATATTTTGAGCTTAGCTCATTGCCAAACAAGAGTTTCTAGATTTGTCAGTTAACTCCATCAACGTGCAGGCTGCCATTAACCACCTCATCAATGTGCATCTGTGGGCCTCCTACACCTACCTCTCTCTGGGCTTCTCTTTCCACCTCGACAATGTGGCTCTGGAGGGTGTAGGCCACTTCTGCGAGTTGACTGAGGAGAAACGCAAAGGCACCGAACATCTCTTGAAGAAGCAAAACCAGACTGGCAGCCGTGCCCTCCTCCAAAACATTCCAAAGCCTTCCCAAGATGAGTGGAGTAAAACTCTAGAACCATGGTTCTGGAGAAGAACCTGAACCAGGCCCTTTTGGAGCTGCATGCCCTGGGTTCTGCCCAAGCAGGCCCCCAGCTCTGTGACTTCCGGGAGAACCACGTCCTAGATGAGGAGGTGAAACTTATCAAGAAGATGGCGACCACCTGACTCACCTTGTCATGTGGCTGCCCACCCCCTCGCCCCCCAGCCCAGCTGGACTGGGTTAGTATCTCTTTGAAAGGGTCACCCTCAAGCACAACTAGAAGCCTCTGGAGCCCAGCAGCCTTTAAGGACCCTCCTTGGCATCCCCCTGGTATAGGGGCTTCTGCCTACGCCTCTCCCTGAAGCTACTAGGTAGCTTTTTAACCACGCCAGATCCCTTTCCCAAATCGTGGGCCAAATGGAAACAATAAAGCTTTTTAGAGGAAAACAAACAAACAAAAAAGAATGCTATCGTGTGAGCCTCCACCACATTTCTCTCAGCGCCTCTGATGAGGAGGCTCCAATACTCCTGCTGAATATTTTCACCCATATTCTCTGCTAGGGAATGAACAAATGATCTAATTTCTCCTGAATTAAGTTTAGTGACTAAATAAATTTAAAAAAGAATTATAATAAAACTAGTGTTCATGAAGCACCTGTTACACAGTGTAGGTGTTTTAAGGGCATTAAAAAATGTAATTCTCATAACGGTACTGAGATACAGATATCATTATATTCATTTACAGGTGAAAGAACTAGGAATTAGCGCAGTGAAGCGATTTGCCCCAGATCGCACAGCAATCTAAACAGTAGAAGCAGAATCCCAACCCAGATCTCTGTGACTAACAAACACCGGCCTTTTCTATTTAACCATGTGGGGCAGTGGGGTAGACCCCAAGTAAGGTTGCCAGATTCAGTAAATCAAAATACAGGATGCCTAGTTAAAATCAGATTTCAAGCGAATAAGAATTTTTTTTTTTTAAGTGCATCACTCTCAGTGTTTGCATATAAAATATGTAGGCCAGAGTCTAGCACAACAGTAGCAGCACTATTCCTACTACAAGTCAGGACCTATGTTGGAAACAAACGTCCGTTATTCAGCACTGGGTGGGGGGAGTCTCATGAGGACAGGAACCAAATGGGATCGCATGAGGTCATGCTGACTGATGGATCTTCCTCTCCCTTCCTTTGCAGGTTCCCCTTTACTAAAATTAATGTGCAAAATATCTCACGGCTTAAGATTCTGTAACATCTCTAGCCAGCACTAAGGGCTTAATACTATATTGGTGAAATCCAGGGCCATGGGTGAAAGTGACCCAAATGGTAAGAGACTGCTTTGACTCTAGCAATGAGAGGAGAGGGAACATCCTGTTTTGTTTGTGTATGTGTTTTTGTTTTTGTGTGTGTGTTTTGTAATCAATAGTCGCTTGAGCTTGTGGAAAACAAAACAGGAAATCTCTCTGGACTTTGTGAGTTTCACCATCCAAGCTGCTCTTGGGAAGAAATCCTGCCTGTGAGTCCCACATCTACTGGCTCTTTCCCAAACCATGAGGAACAGAATGGGGACTGGTGCAATGGCCAGGCAAACCCTGGAGAGAGCTCAAACACACCCTGATAAAAGGCCTACATCAAAGAGGGAGCCCTGGCTAGGCAGCAGGATCCAGCATTGTGTCAGGGCAGGATCACGCTTTCCTTACGTCTCCAGCCCTTGCAACATCCCATCTCAAATCCAATTAGATCCCAGGGGAGGAGAATCATAGAATGTTCCAGCTTCAAGGGACTCTGTAAATCATCTAATCTAATCCATTTGACAGATCAGATACAGTGGCTCAGAAACGCTAGTGGGCTGGTCCAAGGTGAGAGAGCAACTTTGTGATGAAATGATTCTATTCTTCCATTTAATCCTAAAATTACCCTTTGAGATGGATGTCCGATCCCCATTCACAAGTGAGTGTGGAAGAGTAGCGACTTGAACTGAAGTCCATCTGAATCCTGGAACCCTGGACCTTCACAGGTCACACAAGAACAATAAATGCCAAGATTTCATCCAAAACATCCTTTTCAGCTGCTCTGTTTGGATCACGTGCTGATGTGCTGGTTTGTGCGTGTCCGCGAGTGCTTATGCCTGTGTGTGTCTGTGTGTGTGTGTGTGTGTGCGTGCGCACACGCGTGCACTCGTGCGTGTATGTTCTCAGAGGAAAATGAAACCTTACACTGGAGGCATTGTTGACTCCTGGCTTTGGAGTCAGTGAAGGGAATTAAGAAACAAATCCTGTACTTAAACAAGGGTAAGGACTACATTTGCATGACCACTGGTTTTCGTAACAAAGAAATGCTTCCAACTTCTGGCTAATTAGCTAGCAAACCAAACTGGGCAGGAGGAGAAAACA